ACTGCTAGTTTTGTATTATAAAAGTCATGTGAAGAGTGGTTGAAAATTGAGAGTTCCCTAAATTAATCGATTTCTCAATGATTTTACCTTCCATCATCACACTAAAAAGGATGGTTAGTTATTTAATGTTAAGGTTTTTGTAAGTTAATACATTTATTTGGGGGGGATGTTTATATGGAACAAATATATTGGGGTGTCCCACCCCCTTCGTTTGAAGCCTGTTTCTTTCACCACAAAATCTTTGTTATAACTTATTACCAAGCATAAACATTCTATAAAGTCAGATTCCAAAAGAAAATTAATAACGCTGCGACTGACATTGAAGAACCTTTTACGAACACAATTACATTCTTTCCTATTGTGAAAAAGCTGAAAACCAAACTCTTTTCAAGGATTTTAGTAAAATGAGTTTTCGTACTTTGTGTTTATGAGCTAGTGTAAGGAGTTTGTATATAAATCTCATCAATAGCATTATTAATTATGTCTCATGGAATTTTTTAATCAATAAAAGGCCTAGTTGTTTGATGATAAAGTGGGTGTTCCCTGTACCAGCAATATATGTCACTACACTGTATAAATATTCAAATAAATATATTATAGGTTTTAATGACTATATCGTGTATGACAATAATCTTTTCACAGTAACCTGACAAAGTGGGCTTCCTTGCACTGATTATAGTACAGAAAGTTGCTAACTGCTGAATTTACTTCCTTCTGCCATAACCTTTTTTCCGCACTCCACTATTCCAACCAAACAACACAAAAGGAGAGCGTTCTTTTATTAGACACGTAATCCGTGTACGCTTGAAAATAGGTTGACAACACAACTTAAATATTTTACGACTACGATCAGCTGGTGCAGAGTTTCCCATTTCGTTCAACGATTGGATTTAAACTAACCTAAAAATGTATAGTGTTTGAAAGACTAATTATTTATAGGTATGCTTTATTGTAGGAAAAATATAATGTGTAACACAAAGCAAAGTGTAAGCAAAGTGCCTTTGCTGCACTCGTGAAACTTTCCACACTCGCCTGTGGCTCGTGCGTCTTAAACATTCCTCTCGATGTGCACCTAAGCACCACTTCGCACACTAGATACACAAATAACATAATTAGTTATTTCTGTTACACAGTTAACTTATTACATACAACATATATACACAGTTATTATAGTTACACAAATAACATAATTCAAAGCTACTACTCGTACTTAAAATACATAGATGCTGTTTGAAAACAAAAATGATGCACAGGAAAATATGTAAGATAAAAATGGGCTTGCAACAACGGTACTTTAACCTGAGAGTAATTATGGCTATTGCGTGGTACTTAATGTAAGAGTTTTGGCGGAATTCACTCTTTCTTGTCACTAAACTGAGTTTAATAGCATGATGGTGAAATGCCCCAGTCTCACAAAGACCTTCTTTTGTCACTTAATGTCAAGAGCATTGCTGTGACATTTTCAGGCCTTGTCATTGTTCTCCTAAGTTTAAAGTAATAATAGAAGGACAAAAGCTTTCTCAGGCAAAATATAGTTGTAGGTAACTTACACAATATGCTACTTAATTTGTCTTTTGGAGCCGAAGCTATTCATTGTCCATTTCATTTTGATTTTACTTTCAGTAAAGCTGTACTGGTTTGTTTAAGCTACTTATGTAGAGTAATTATTGCTCATATTGTTTTTCGTTGTTCAATTTATTCGATTACTAAAACTACCAACCACAATTTACTTTCACTACAATATGCTTGTCTAACGCGTTTTGAAAACATTATATAATTCCTACCATGACTATTTTTCCTTATGACGAATCACTTTATGAGCAACAACCATAGGGTTGTAGGTAGGTAAGTTTAATTAAATTTCAGATACAGGGCAGAGTCCGCCTTGAGCGGTACATACCCTATAGGTTTGCACTAGTGCAAACATAGAAAAAATAGAATTACCGTAATGTATAATATTTGTATTCATACTCCCCCTTTTTCTTCCTTCATAATTGACGTAACATTCACTGACAAATTTAAAAATTTTCTTTATTTTGCACCAAGCACGGGGTGATTAGTTTGTAAACAAGTATAAGTTACGTTGACTTTCACCACAGCTTACATAAAAATGTTTGGTGTTTTGTGTGAATTTTAAAGACATTAAAAAATTTGTGTAATTTTTAAGCCATCCTAATGATAATGATTGATAAAATACCCCCGCCGGAGCAAACCTGCAGACTAAGCGAATTTCCATTTGCCTGATTGGATTTACACTAAAATGCCTCCTTAAAAATATCACATTTATTTTTCACCTGGAAATATCACTGGAAAATATCACCTGGATCTTCGAATGTTCGGGCTAAGAGATCCTGATCTTTCTTCCCATGAGTAATTCCGCTGGAGAATATCCACTTCCCAAACCTGATGAATGAGTGTTGGATTGGAACTTACTGTTTGTGACTGTGCACTAAAATTAGAATCCTCTTGATCTTTCCTTTGTCTTCTTTTGGACATTTTACGCACCTGACACCATGTAATATTATGAAAAAAATGATAAAAAACTTTAATAGGAATAAAGAACAAAACTTGATGGTTGATTGGTACTATAAACTTAATCTTTGAAAAGTAAAACGGTAATGCATTTTCAATTCACCTCAGAATCAAACCCAAAAAAAATACGCAATTTGTGCACATGTACCCTCATTATCTCTTTAAGGTGTGAGGAATAAAAAACATTTTAATTGTTAAAACAAATATCTATTATATATAAACTAAGTTCATATTACCTTAAATTGATTACTGTGTCCAATACAATAGTAAACATTAAGTGGTAATCTTAAAAAGTAATGAACATCCAACATAAAAGCTAGACAACAACTGAAGGGTACACTTCAAGCACAATGCAACCTACTTCCCAACGCTCCCGTAGTTGAAATAAAAAATCTACACTACTGTATAATATAAATGGCAGTGAATAGCAGTTATTGATGGATATTTGATCATCGGAAAAGCCGGTCCAACTATTCACGCAAACTGTAAAACCTCAATAGCAAGTTCTGTAGGAACATGTTGACTTGCCTGTTTTAAAATTGAGCAATATACAATGACAATAATGATTCCTGAGACTCTGATAAGTAGGTGCTTTGGTATGCCACTTAACTCTGATTAGTGATGCTGTGTTTCAACAATATTTTATCCATCAAAACAGCTTCGATCTTTCAAAAAATCATTCAAAATTCCTCTGAAAACAATTGAAAATATACTCCAATACCACCAAAACAGTTCAAATTGTTCACCTCATTAAGAATACCTACGGTATTTAATAAAATATTATATTGATCCAACAGATTTATTAAATTTAATAACCTAATTGATGGGACCTATTATCTCTAAAATTAGTTGTAGGGTTTAGTTAGATTCAAGTTTTAAGTTAATCCACCTTAAAATAGTTTTAATTCCCTTTAAAATTATCAAGACTACAGAATTTCTGTGAAAATTTAAAACATGAATATGAAGTAAAAGATATAAAATGCTTGCAAGTGTGTGTGTTGCATAAATCAATAAATTATGGCAGCTTCAGACGATATAAATATTGCATTATTGGACTGTGTTTTAACCTTCACATATATATTGCACAACTAGATATAATTCATTTTAAATAAATAAATAGTAAAGTCTTACCTTAGCAATCCTTGTTATGGTGGTCCGACGTTCCTAAGGTAAGACTTTACTATTTATTTATTTGATTATATAAGCAATCCAGAGGCTGAAATGATAGATAATTCATTTTACTGGTAATACAGCCTGTTAAAAAAACTGCATTGTTGGTCAAATTTACATTAATAATTCTTCTCCTTAACAACTAAATAACTGGCTTTCTTCACAACTTTCTTTCCGGATTCACTACAAAACTTTACTACTGAGGTTTTACGACATAGCTAGTAAAAGATTTCATACAATTTTAAATCCACTTGTAAGCATTACATATGTGTAAACATTACAGTGCATGCACACTGAGAGAGTTATTTACTTACAGAATTATGAGACTGTCTTTGACAAAGTGTGATAGAAATCATAAGTATTGAATAAACCCTTGTAGTATAGTATATTCATTCATCTACCTTGAAAACACTCTACAATACTAATCGATCACACATTGTTTATTTTATCTCCTCTATTAAAACTCACAAAATCTTAGGTTCAAGCTTTCTAGTTACATGCTACTTAAAATATTTAAATTTAATGTTTAAGTTAGAACTGATTCAAAACTAAATATCAACAAAAAAGGTCGTTAACACAACACGTAAGTGTAAAAGGTTGGGTTGGTTTAGACGAGTAACAACAAAATATTTAAGATCAATGAGTTGATAAATAGAATAAAAAATTATAACTGGTGTTTTTTTTTTAGTTTGGGTAATATGTATTAGGGTTTTTCGGTATTTAGAAAAATTGTTGAACTGCTGCTTTTAATTCTTGAAACAATTAGTTAGTCAAATTAGTATATTGCACAATGTAGATATACACAGTAGTTACAAATTGTTTAAATTGTCTCATTGTAGAGGGAGTGCACCAGTGAATGACTGTTTTGTACCAACACATCATATTAAGCTTATTGCTTTTCCTAGTTTATACAAACTGGTCTTAAAAGCAACTCTGGAGCCTTATTGGAATCCAAACCAACTTCCACCCGAGCCGGACACAATTTATTTAAGATGGGCTCTCCACTCCAGCTAAGCCACAATAGTACGATCAATATGGATGACACTTGTACGGGATTCAAACATGTGCATGTAGAAAGACCTCAACGTTACCACAGAAAACGTACTACTATAACCCAGAATGCCAACCGCATGGTAAAAAGCATTAAGTGTTTTGAGAGAGCTTTGCCTGTCAATTCGTAGGCAGCGCCACCAGCGTTGCTATGCTGAGTGCATGGCAACGCTGGTGGCGCTGCCTACGAATTGACAGGCAAAGCTCTCTCAAAACACTTAATGCTTTTTACCATGCGGTTGGCATTCTGGGTTATAGTACAGTAGAGTCCCGCAAACTCGGCTCTCGGTAACCCGGCAGTCTGGATAACTCGGCCATCACCTGGTTCAGAAAATCAGTGATTTTTTGAGTCAGAGTTAAAAATGGACTCAAGCCAGCTCTAGTCAAATCATTCGCAACTCATACCAAGGATTAGTTTCACTATATCTGATGACTTAATACTGACTTGTAATATAAATACAAATAAAAAAAGGCGGTTAAAAAGCTTAAAAATTGTATTTTTTCTTATTTTAAACCCTAGTTCCTGATAACCCGGCATTTCACAAACTCAGCACCCTTCCAGTCCACATTACGCCGAGTTTGCGGGACTCTACTGTAGTACGTTTTCTGTGACGTTACACACATCAGTGCAGTGCCTTAGCAAACTGAGATACCATGCCCTGTCGGCCAAACGGGTTGATTGCCAGTATAAGCACACGACACTAGCGCTTGTAGGTTAGATTCGGTGACAAGCTACGACACACGTGAGTCAGCATTAATGAGTTAAAAGTTACAGTAATTAACTAGATGAAAAGTGGTAATTCACTAGAATCTATACTTTAATGATCCTGAAATGGTTATTATTATTATCATATACAGGGTGCCATGCTGTATTCAACATAAAAATCTTGAACGGGTTATTTGGTGAAAAAGATGTTGGTTAGTACAATATTAAATGCTATATAATATGAAACTTAAGCTTAAACGGTCATTCACTGGTCCACTGGTGCTCTCGCGCTGAACATGACATGATAACAGAAACCCCTAACCAATTCTGGAGTAAGAGTATAGAAGCTGATTCAGTAAAAAGTGGTTTAAATAACGAGTGTAAAACTGAGTAGGCCCTACTGCATGTATTGATTTAATTTCCTAATAAATAATTAATTGAAGGAGTGGTAAATAAGAAAGTTTGATTAATTAAAATTGTACTGAGTGAAGGCAGGCTTTTACTTCAAAAGAGCTTCACTTTTAAAATAGCATGTTAGGTTCTTGTTAAAAATCTCCCCTACTTTTTCTTGAGATTTCAAGCAAGCAATTGTCTCATATAATAAACAAGCCAGTAAACATTTGAACCTTAAATATGTAAAGAGTAGTATGTAAGTTTTCATCATCAACATTGTGATGAATTACAGATCAGATTAGAAAAAAAACCAGGGAGGTTAGAACTTTAAAAATCCTTAAAAAGAAAACACTTCAATCTAAAAAAAAAAACACCTCCAAAATAAAACTAGAAACAAAAGGAAATGGCATAATGATCATTACAAGTGTTATGGGTGTTTGATTTAAATTACATGGATGAACACGTTGTATACCTTTCTAAATCCAAAGATCATTCTACTGGTCTTACATTCACAACTAAGGATTATTTCTTAATAATACACAATTCATGCATTACTTATAGTTATCCTGCTTAGATTTAACAATGGAAATAAAAACATAAAAAGTAGTAGTATGCATAAGGCCCCGTTTATGCACGAAGAGTGGGAGCGGGGATAGCGGGCCCGGCCCGCTCCCGCTGTAAAAGTGTTGTCAAAATCGTGCAAGCGATAGCGGTAGCGGTTGGTCAACGGAGAATGGAAGGGGGACACAGTCTTGCCAACTCAAACTCTGCCAAATAATTAACACAACAACACAACAGTACTGGTCTATCCTACGAGTGCGCGTGGGTCAAGTTGGCAACCCTGGCTGTAACCGCTCCTGCTCTCGCCGTGCATAAACAGTCCATTTGACTCAATGTAGTTGAAAACCGCTCCATCCCAAGCAACCGCTGCGATTTCTAACTACACAGCGGTCAAATTAGAAACCGCAGCGGGAGGTCAACCACTACCGCTATCGCTCTTGGTGCATAAACAGCCCCATTTAACTCAATGGTGTTAGAAATCGCTCCCCCTGTCGCTACCACTCCCGCTCTTGGTGCATAAACGGGGCCTAATACACGACTAATGTCTCTCAAAATAAATAAAAAAGCTCAAAAAGTCCTTAAAAATATTTAATGTCTTAACTAATGATAATGGGTACTTTCTGTTAAGGACACACTTTTAAGTTAGATGGATGTACTTTTAAAGGCTTTTAGACATTTAATAACAAGTTTGGTATTAATTTATTAACTATATATGCAGAATAGGATACTCATGATGTGTTTTCAGTTAAGGGACCACAAAATCTATGTTAACATCAAATATATTTCATAACAACGTAAATTCTTGTTAATGGTGATTAGGTAGGTTATTACATGAAAACTATATTAAGACAATAAAATTAAATTAAACCGATTATTTTAGAAGAAAGGATTTTAGATGAAAACTAAAAACACCTCTATCGTAAAAAGAATTATGCTAAACTACAAATTTGTAAAAATACTCCCAATTAAAATTTGAAATTAATTGTCTTTACTATGGATTTTTTATTTAATTGCAATTAACTTATTAACTTATCAACTTTGACTCTTCATGTATCTATTCAAGAAAAGCTCTCTAAATATTAACAAATAGATCAAGGTACTTCTAAAAGCAACACCTTTAAACATTCATTTCAATTGACCCCTGTACAATTTGTAAACTATTTGATTGTAAATTTTATTTGCCTATGCAATAAAAAGTCATTACAGTTGTGTAGAATTAAGAAGCAGAATGTTTTTCCTCTTTTACTAGAAAGCCTAAAATTCAATTTCATAAATCCATCAAACTAAACAACCTGTTTGAAAACTATTAAAAATCGTTTACTAAAATATTAATACGGTATAAATTTCAATTAGGTTAAAAAATAAACTTGAAATCAGGCATCCTAACCAAACCTGGTTTCAAATGCTTCATTGTGTTATAAAATTATAAAAACCGAATAATAAAAAACACCGTTTGCATCTACCTGCAACTTTTAAATGGCTCAAGTGACCTATATTGTCAATTGTCAACTGTATATGAAGTACACGGCCCTCGAATTGGAGGGAATAACTGATGTTACATTGTAACATTCGTAATTAGCACATGAAAGTCAAAAGGTATATGAGATACCGATTCTGGCTACACTAACGTCAATCCACAATCGTTATACAGCACGTCAGTTCATGTCTGGCCTCTTCGTCATGAACACATTCAGGCATCCAGCTGATTTTTCAATCCGAGTGAGCAATAATCTGATACAAACCGGTAAGCTATTTTCTTCCAAAACTTGCCTAGATTCCTCAATTTTCCAAACCGAAGTCACAGAACTCCAGTCAATAAACCGAGAAATAATTGCACCAGAAGGCCGGAAGCTAAACAGTAAAACGCACATTTTCTGAGGTCGGGTCGACGTCACTTGCGCTTTTTGGGGTAAGTACCGTAGTTATGCGGGGGTGGTGGGGGTGGCGGCGGGGCAAAGTGGGGGTCCCACCAGCCCGGGACTCTCCCAGCAACAGGAGAGTCCCATAGCTGCTGCTAGCAATGTCGGCTGCGCCAGTGGTTCAGGTACTCCTGATAGCCAACACTCACTTTCTCACTTTGGTACCGAGTCAGTTTGATGTTGCGTCGGATGTCTGGTGTCACCAGGCCCTTAAATCCTCCCTTGCGAAGGAGTGAGTCGATTGTCTGGATCTGGTCCCACCCTGGAATACAGCACAACACATTGTAGTCATTAGAAAAGAAACATTTTTAATTAGAATTACACACAATAACCGTTCGTCTAAAGAAAAGTATCTGAAGATAAATTCATTTATCTTCAGATATCAGGTATATGAGAGCTGATTTCAGGTGATGTCAACAATAGTGTCAAACTAGTTATTTTGAAATCGTCACGAAATCACCATAACCAAAGGACACAGCTAGGCGTTTATGGGAAGGCCATTTATTTAAAGCCTAGTGATTAAGGAGACTTAGGTCCATCATAACATTGATCAAAACCTATTTTCATAAACAGTCAATTTTTAACTAAACTAATTACTAACTATAACTAACTAACTAATAATTTATTTATTTTTTGTCCTAGGATGCTAGGCACAAGCCCGAAATTGTTTTTTTACATTACTTCAGACTAGACCTAGGGGTTGCGGCATTATCACTTAGATAAAATCCATTGGTGATTTGGCGGGATTTGAACCCGGGACCTTATGAACCGAAGCCCCTCGCTCTAACCACTAGACCAGCTCGCTCCCCCAACCTTCTTAATACTAGGCAGGCCTAGGGGTTGCGGCAATATTACTTAGATAAAATCCATTGGTGATTTGAAGGGATTTGAACCCGGGACCTCAGGAACCGAAATCCCTCGCTCTAACCACTAGACCAGCTCGCTCCCCCAGCTACATATATGAGCTACATCTATGATTATGACAATATCAAATTTACAACAATTATACCGGATGAGGTGAAGTTCAATTTTTCCAAAAAGTAGTTTGATAATTAGGTAATGTTTTTGTAACCAACAAAAAAAATTTTTTAATGTACTTAAAAAATCGTGTACATCTCAGGATAAAAAATTTGAAGAGTCAGCAATTGACAAGAAAGCCAAAATTAACTAATTTGGACTGGAATAGTGATTTGACAGAATAAAAAGTAACACTACATCTTTTAAACAATACTAGTCCTAATGCTTGGGCCAGTCAGTGGCTCAGTTGGTAGCATCACGGACTTCGGGCCCAAGGCAGCGATGTCAAGGGGTTCAGATCCTGGTCACAGCCGAAAACATTTTATCAGTACAGTTCACCTAAGTACTGTACCGGCTCACCCCTTCATTTGCTGGATACGTTCCACGCACGGATCTGTAGTCTATGTGAAAAATAAAAGGCAAGGTTAAAAGAGGCCCCCAACCTCTTTTTGTAAAAAAAAATCCAAAATTTTGTGAAAATCCTTTTGCTGGATTTCCAGATATATGTTACAGACAGAGTACGGTAACAGACTTGGCTCGTATATAGTATAGGATTATAAGTGATTCAATCATTTAGACTATTTATTTGATTATTTTAGTATACATATTTGACTAAAAGTGCTTTTTCACCACACTATGATGTTTTTGGCTGTATTACATACGTTAATTGGTGGCTGAAAGTTACGTTTTGCTGGCCATGCCAGCTGTCATCGTAATTTGGGGACCGAGCAGGTTTTTACAGGCCGGGGCCGCAAAATCAGCTGTCCGCTTACTTACTTAAAACATGAATGCATTTTAAATACACAATCAAAATCCGTAGCATTGCAATAGAATTGTGTTATTGTCACCGTTGCCTAGCAACTATTTATTTTTATTTTTGCTGATTCCTCAAATTATTTCTTCACATAACCTTAAAGTTGTAGTTGTGTTGACTATCAGTGTGCATTATTATAGTGGTGAATAGTGGTAATAGAGTATAGTGTGGTGAAAAATAGCGTTCGTACCACGGACCGAGATGGTTTTGCAGCTCTCGATCGATTTAAGTTCTCGACTTCGTCTCGAACTTAAAAACTATCTCGAGCCGGCAAAACCTCATTTTCGGCCCTAGGTACGAAATATACTATTTTGTCATGTGCATGTGTTGCGGGTCTAAAGTAGTATTTTACAGTCTAGGTAGTAAACAGTGTTTTTAGCCCCAAGGGAGTAAACAACAGCTGTTGTCAACTCAGTTGTTAATTTCAATTGCTTTGGACTCCACACAAAAAGTCTTGTACTCTTACCACTACTAACCACGCCCTGGCAGTTTTCAGACATAATTACTGCTCTACTTTCTCTCTGTATTTTCGTTAACAAAGACAATATGTGAATCTAATGGTAGGATTAAATAGGTTTTATTTTATTTTCAATTTGGTTTAAAATTTTGAGCGAACTGTTGAATAGTGATTACGTTCTGTTCTAATAATATCGTTATGCCTTATCTGATAAATCTTAGTCTAAAAACTGTCTCTAGATAGAGCTGCCAGCTCAGTGATCCCCCCTCCCCTCCTGAAGAGAATTTATTTATGAACAATTTTTTTAAATACAGAACTACAGTATGGCTAATTGTTTTTAAAATATTTTTGATGGATGAAAGATTACTTAGTATACATATAGGCCTACATTTAAATTATAGTAATACTTCATGTTAAAAAAATACATTTCTCAAAAGTCATAACAAAATCACAATTTCAATAGCCGAATTAGAACCATTTTACACATTGCGATACGTTCATAGGTGATCTTTTTTAGTTACCTATCTTATTACATTTGTGTATATAAAGAGTCAATTTATAAACTGTAATGTTTATTTAACAAAAGTGTATTTCAGATGAGCGAGAATTCAAGTATTGTTTCCGAGCTGTAATGGATTTCCAACCGCATCCCGAACTATGGCCTAAACTATTCTATACATAGTCATCCACGAATAAATACGAGTAGTCGTAGGTAGAGCTTTCAGCTGAGATTCTGAAGAGGGGAAGGAAGGCGGCAATGAAGGGGCCAGGGCATAAAATAACATGTTAACTGCTGAGAAGTTGTCGCCCAGTGACTAAGGATGGTGCCAGCAAATTTTTTTTTTATTATTCACATTTTAAATGTGTTGGGATTTAAAAAAATTAAAAGTATTTATAAAATAACATTGTGCAAATATTTCTAGAATTCGTAATTAAGTGAGATTAGGCCTATATGGATGATTTACAAATATAATCAAAAAATGCATTACAAAATACGTAGAAATGTGTGATTTTCACTTAATTTAATCAAAAATTTTCCAGTGGAAATCCCTTAAAATATGCTCTGGGAGGGGCTACACGCGTGTAGTTCCACTTGCGGCTGCAAGGTTCAGTATGTTACGGATTCAAATTTGCTAGTTGCAGAGGTCACGGGCCCTAACTTTATAAACTACCCATACATGCTAATAAAAAACAATAAACAGGGTTTTTAAGAACAAAGAACCATCCATGCATCCTTGGTTTTAGAATTTTATTGTAAGGATTCTACAAGTTAACGCAGTTTAAAATTGCCGTTTTTTGTCTACATTCAAAAGAGGATTTTTCAAGCTTTATGGTTCGATATTAAAGATATTGAAACCACCATATTTTAGATAATTTAATCCTTTTCAAAATGATACCCTAACTTTGATTACATACAAACACCTTGTATCCTGTTTGATTGTGAAGCCTTTGGAAACACTTAATGTAACCCAAGCTATAGTAATATTCTCACCTTGTTCCGTAGCAACTTCAGGAAGGTAGGTGGCTGTGCGCTTGCTGCCTTTCTCATTGTGAAACTCTATGCGGATGCCGTGCACTCCCACCTCCCAGTCCTTGTAGTCAGCCCCATCCTCGAAGTGACGGAGAATTGACACTGACACATGCAGCTTCGTCAACTCCTCCCGAGTGATGGGACTGAAGCGCGAGTCCTTGATAGCACTAGAATTCACATCATCAGTAAAACAATAGTACATGCCTTTACCATGTAGCGCTGAGGGTCTTTAACCATGGACTTTTGGATATGAAGGTAGACATCACATCTACATGGACCAGTTATAGCAAAATCTTAATTGAAATAGAACATAGTTTTGGATGACCCACCAGTTGGATGATAAGGTGAGCTACTATCAAAGTTTTATCTCTCTCACTTTTTGATTATTCAATACATTTTTAAAATAAAAGATGCTACATTTTAAGGAAAGTAGTTCTTTCAGTTTGGCTTGGTTAAACAGTGCATACCGGTACAACAGAAATCAGTTGCCTTACTATATTAGAGGGGGGCAATCAAACTGCATAAATTTTCATTTTAAAACTAGCTAGGCTATAGCATGTAAATAGATTGTCCAGTACCATCCATAGTCAAAAGTCTCATTCAATAAGTACCTTTAGACTGTCATAAACTCATGTTGAAACAATCCATGTCAATGATTAGGCCTATCCATTGTATATGAGTAGATATTGCACCTTGCAAGATGTGTGTTTAACAAGTAGCGTAAACAGTGATAGATACAGGTAGATAGGCGCATGGCCTAGAAACTGAAGTCGCTAAACAAAAAAACAAATTAGACATTCTTATTAATTTCAAAATAATCAAAATGAAGTTGAATGTTTTATGGTGTTGTTGGTGGTTGTTGTTTTTAGGCTACAGGCTATATACAGGGTGTTTTTTTTTAACTTGCATCTTTATTTATGTAAAAACCACAATAGATAGAAATATGCAGTTTGCGAAATCATCTATTGACGTAGGGGGACCAATTGTTTTGAATTCAACGTTACATTCACATTCCCCCCCCCCCTTTCCCCCCCCGCCCCCAACTTATTTTTTTTTAAATAGCAAGGTACCCCTTGTGACATATCAAATAAAAGAGCATGAAAAAAGAAAATGTTTGATGAAAAAAAATTGAAAATCGGTTCATAAATTTGTGAGATATTCCCCCCCCCTCCCCCCCGGAACTTATTTTTTTTTAATAGCAAGGTACCCCTTGTGACATATCAAATGAAAGAGCATGAAAAAAGAAAATTTTTGGTGAAAAAAAATTTAAAATCGGCTTATGAATCTGTGAGTTAATCACCCCCCTTTTCCCCTACCCATAACTCGTTTTTTAATAGCAAGGTACCTGCCCTTGTGACATATCAAATGAAAAATAAATTTCACCAAACATTTTCTTTTTTCATGCTCTTTCATTTGATATGTCACAAGGGGTACCTTGCTATTAAAAAAAATTAAGTTGGGGGCAGGGGGGAAAGGGGGGGAATGTGAATGTAACGTTGAATTCAAAACAATTGGTCCCCCTACGTCAATAGATGATTCCCGCAAACTGCATATTTCTATCTATTGTGGTTTTTACATAAATAAAGATGCAAGTTTTTAAAAAAACACCCTGTATGTCTTTTATACGTATTTTGTCCATATTCACAACAACCCTGGATGGAGAGTATTTTTAAATTGTTACAAACACCTTCCCCCCCCCCCACCCTCATCTCTTTCGTATTTCACCTCTTTCTTTTTTTCAATACTTTAATACTTTTCAATTAAATGGTGACCATACAAATTATGTATTTTAAGCCAAGTATGAATGGAGATGAGTGTAGGATGAGTGGCGCGATCTTGTAGTCTTGTTAGTGACTAAGACCAACTTATTCCTTAGATACAGCTGTTAATTAATAGCCCATGCAGCTAATGGCAACTAAGGGACTTACAGTTTATAGTGGAATCGGAACCACATTTTTGCCATGGTATATACGAATTGGTCTAATTATCAGGATAGTACCGCAGATAGTCGTAGTACTCACTCGTGCGGACGTTAATCCACACCAGGGAGTATCGCATCTACAGTGCATGTCTATAAATATCCACAATTCGTAACTTCCTAGTAGCTGGATTACAGGACGACGCCACCCATCCCAGTTTTTCACTCCTAGATCAGCTGTAGATTATGATACAAGTTAGAGGATAGTTTTACTGGCATGCAAGTTAAGCCTGCCAATTAACAAATAACACCATAGACGAAATAAAGATAGAGTTACGGAAGATGACCAATTATGATAAAGTTTATTAAAGTTACCATTGTTGGCCGAAATTGGAGTCATGGACATGAGTGCAAGAGCACATAAATTACCGAACATGCTTAAATGTTTGAGAGGCTTAAATCACTTTCCTTTAAAAGGTTGGTAAGTTTTTTTACAATTTGACAATGGTGTGGATAATAGTAACGTAACAGCATCAGCTCACCTTGTAACAGCATACTCTCGAATCCCGTTGTGTAAATTTATGGAGTTGAAAGTTCCAATGCATCCTCTGAGCCGACGGTCCTTTCCGATCTCCCATGTAACGAACAATGGACTGTAAACAGAAAAAACTACATTTACCAAAACAAAACGGGCAACAAAACAATGTTAACCTTAATACTTTAATACTTTCTTATGAAATGGCGACCATACAAAGTAGGTATTTTAAGCCAAGTATGAATGGAGATGAGTGTAACCGTGGAATGTAAAAAAAAACAATTACAAAAAGTAATGGACTTTGTTCTTACAACAATCCACAAACTTAGGTGTTTAAGTTACTTAGTTAGGGTAGCAAATTACCTTGAGGAAACTAAAAGTAGGTTTGAATGAAACAAGCTACTGCTAAAAACAGATACCTAAGCTTCAAGAGAAACGCAACGGGGTTAAAGAAGACTCATCAGTCAAACTTTTAAGCCTACATATAAGTTAGGCCTAGACAGTAAATTATCTTGGTCTACCCATTTGGATGTAGTAGTTAGGGGTAAAAACTTGAAAACAGGACAATTGCTGTCCCCAGCTATTTATACCTCTTCCGCTATCCATTCCTGCTCCAAATAGTTTTAAAATAATTTACTATACCTTCCTTTGAATAAAAATGTTTATGTTTCTCGATTTTAATACTATGTAGTAAATAAAAGTGTGTTTGAAAAGTTCCAAAATGGGTATATTTAGTGAAAACCCCTGTCTCCTAGGTTAGAAGTTGGATACATAAGCTTATATTTTCAAGACAATAATAGGTTTTTTACATACCTCAGTCAAATAGTCCAAAAATGGTATTGCTCAACAGCTTACATGTTTCGTTGCGAAGACAACATTATCAAAGCTTGCAACTCGTCAAAAACACATTTAAAACACGAACACGAACACAGAAGACATTAATACGGTACGAATACACAATTGACATTTAGATAGCGCTATCATAATACTGATTTGGTCCGGCGCGGCGCGGGCCTGGTAGCAGACTCAGCGGGACCCAGCCCCGCGCCGCGCCGGACCAAATCAGTATTATGATAGCGCTATCTAAATGTCAATTGTGTATTCGTACCGTATTAATGTCTTCTGTGTTCGTGTTCGTGTTTTAAATGTGTTTTTGACGAGTTGCAAGCTTTGATAATGTTGTCTTCGCAACGAAACATGTAAGCTGTTGAGCAATACCATTTTTGGACTATTTGACTGAGGTATGTAAAAAACCTATTATTGTCTTAACAATATAGTCCAGGGGCCGAAAACATGAATTTTGCTTATATTTTCAGTAATATTAAGGCAATAAATTTTAAATATTTGGTTTGAATTGATTTATAATGTTAAAATATTGACAAAAATTACCAAACAGGCTTTTTAATGAAATTATACTGGCAATAACAATCGTTAAAAGTCGCGTCCCTGGCTGTGAATGTAATGCTGGGTTTGAAGGTCGGAACCAGTTCTCGTCAGGTCTCTCAACCCTATCGACTCCGGGCGGATAGATATTTCGGCCTCTCTCAGTTCGTTTTTGACTGTGGGTGAAGTAGGTCAGGCTTACAATGCCTGGCTTTCCAGTTTATTCGGAAAGTCTTTATTTAAAATCTGTTTTGTAAGCGTTAAGTTTTTGTGTAATGATTGTACCGAAAATACCTGTTACAATAAGGCAAATTACTTATTTAAAACTAAGAAAATATTTAGTCAAACGCATACTTAACCAAACTTATGGCCAGCAAAGGGAACCATGGCCTCTATGTTCCATTTTAGTAAACGAAGAGAGTGAAAATACTAATGTCGGTTACAGTACTGTAATTTGGGTTACAAAATCTGAGGATCTGATGTGTTCGTCCTACATTACTTTTGGTGAATTGTGTACGGTAACCCTAGAAATTACTTCTCTTATGAGTTTTCAATGTCGAGAATTAATTTTTTGGTAACCCACAATATAATTAAAAATTATTTCTGTTTACTTTCTTTACTTGACCTATTCTGATGATGGGCGGGATTATACAACAATGTGGGTGGCAAGAATTCGGCTCCGAGGTTTGCGAGAAAATTACGAACCTTGCCTAGTGTTATGTGACCGGTTATAAGCAGACGATAATAACGAAAAGGTGACACTTTTATAATAAAGGATAACACATGTTTTGTTTAATACATAGAAGTTCCCCCTTTAAGCGTTTGTATTTAGATTATATTTAGGTATCTGCATTCTTAAAATTCTATGGGAAGGGAGGAAAACGGGTCCGCGACTTAGGAAGTGGTGAAGGAAGTTTGTAAGCAGAGCTCACATCAATCAGCTAAAACCTTTCAGGGGAGTCTATGAAGATGGTTCTGAACCCGAAGTCCGGGAGGAGTTGAACGAGGAAGACTTCTGATTTCTCATTTTGTTTATCTATGTTTCACTTGTTTCATCTGGTCAGCGCGGACTACTACTGTGGAGTGATATTGTTTCTCTATTGAAAATTTTGTTAAGTGAGAACTGGATCGGAAGAACCAAGCTCATGTGTTTGAACTGTGTTGTCTTGGTACGTATTGTGGTTAAAGGGGGGGAGGTTGTGTCGTGTTATAATTTTATTTAATTACTCATGGCACGGATGGTTGTTTAGGTTGGCAATGCTGCGCTTGAGAAAAAGGGAACAGCAAAACGGTGATGTTGATTTTTTTATGGTGTAGGCTAATTTTGGTTTCTAGTGATAGGCCTACTTATAAAATTAATTATTCTCTTTCCCTTCTCGTCATTTCTAAAGTTTTTTTGTTAGAGTCAAACTGAAGAATCGTTTAGTTTATGTAGTGGAGAAGACACATGAGACATTCGTTTGACCAGAATAATGTTGAAACGTTTGTCAAGTTCCATAATATTGAGTTTCGACTTGCTTTATCGGACTTGACGTTTAACTTGGATACTTGGATACTTACTTGGATACTTGGAGAATTCCCACTGGTATCGCATCAGCGACGTGGTCGTCAGGTTTTTATACATTTCTTCATATATATTTATATAGATGGATTCATTTCCTCTTCAAGATTGTACATGGCCTAGACATATATCTCATCAACACTGTAGTAGGCCACTTGACTTAAGAATGTTTTTAGCAGGTTCTTGAATTTGTTGACAGAGGGCTCTTGTGTGATGTACTGAGGCAATTTATTGTAAATTTTTATACTATTGAAGTAAGGGCTCTTGCTTGCAAGGGTGGAATTTACTTGAGGTACATGTGGATTTGTTGCTCTTCTTGTATTGTAATTGTGGACCATGCTGTTTGTTACAAAAATATTGGGGTTCTTCTTAACAAGCAATGCGGATTCCAATATAAAGAGGGACGGAAGTGTGAGGATGTTCAGTTCTTGGAACAAAGGTTTACAGTGTGTCCGTCTATGGACTCCACATATTCTTCTAATTGCACGCTTTTGAAGGATGAAGATGCGTTTTGCCTCACTACAACCACCCCAAAATACCAAACCATATGAGATTATGCTATGAAAACAGCCATAATAAACCTTAAGGAGAATCTCGATGTCAACCAGCTTTTGAAGTCTAAACAGCAGGTAGGTGACAGATGACAGTCTGGGCGCTATTGCATCGACATGTGTTCCCCAATTAAGGTTCTCCGTAATGTGTAGGCCCAAGTATTTGGTTTCACTACAGGTTTCAAGTAGCACCCCGTCCAAGGTCAATATCGGAGGTGGTTCAGGCTTCTTCCTGTTATAAAATTCCATTAATTTAGTTTTACTAGAATTAAGGACCAGATGATTTTTGCTACACCAAGTTGACATTTCAAGCAAGCCAGTTTGGGCGTTTTCAATCGTGATGTTCCGATTTGGGCTTGGGACTAGGTGACAGGCGTCATCGGCAAAAAGCCATAAATTTCCAGATGATATGGAGCCAGGCAAGTCATTCACGTATAACAGGAATAGGATGGGCCCAAGGTTTGATCCCTGGGGGACACCGATGTTCAGAGCTGGTGATGGAGACGATTTATATGTCCGAAGGATGTTGTCAGGGCCTCTGTGCTTCAAGGATACAATCATGTGCCGATCTTTAAGATACGATGAAATCCATCGCAGTGGGTTTCCAGAAATGCCAAGCGCTCGCAGCTTATCCAGAAGGATCCTGTGGTCAAGAAGATCAAAAGCCTTTGTCATGTCGTAAAAGAGACATAGTAAGCTGTCAGATATGTCAAGGTGGTTATACACTTCCTTTAAAAGGGCAAAAATGGCATCACAGGTAGACATGTTTTTTCTGAACCCAAATTGGTTATTTGACAAGATGTTATTTGTTTCAATAAAACTTAGCAATCTTTTAAGAAAAATAATCTCAAAGATTTTACCAAAACAAGGCTGGACAGAAATAGGCCGGTAGTTACTTGCGTTAAGAGGATCATTTTTCTTAAATACAGGGACAACCTTTGAAGTTTTCAACGAATCAGGAAAGCAACCAGTTTCAAACGACTTGTTAATAGAGCAGGCCAATGCTTCAAAGATGTTTTCATTGCAAAGTTTGAGAAGGCTGCATGGGACTTCATCAATGCCAGAACTTTTTTTTGATCCTATTAATAAGACGACTTCACGAACCTCAGACGCAGAAGTAGGAGACAGTACAAAGCGACTCGCTTCGAGATCAGTGGGCAACACAGGGGCTACATTATCTTTAGCCAACGTACATATTTCCTGGTGAAAAGATTTACAGAAATAGTCTACTATTGTCTGAGGATTTTTGACTTCCACGTCATCGATCATAAGAATCAGGTTTGATTGGGTCTGATACTTTTCATCGCACAGTGTACGGACCACTGCCCAAGATTCCTTGCTTGTGTTTTTGGAATTTAATATTTTGTTACCAAAAAAGGCCTTTTGTTTTGTTAACAAGTGCAGAGTGGTGGCGTTTAGCTGCGCGATAAGCATTTTTTCCATCGACAGAACAGTGAGGCGACCTAGTATTCCAGTACAGGTCCAAGAGTGCTTCATGCGACTGCGATACCTCATGACTGACCCAAGAAGGGCTATGTTCATTCTTTGTATTTGAAGTAGACACAGGGAAACTTACATTAAAAACATACATGAACGAATCGTAGAAATGGTCAAATAAATCATTAGAGGTGATATTTCTTAAATTAGGTTCTGGCATCCAAGCTTCATTGTTAGATAAAATTTTGAAGGCTTCAAAAGTCGAGGCTGTAAATTTCCTCTTCACTGTCTTATTTACATTTCCCTCTCCAAAACGTTCACACAACAAGTGTACTGATAACAAATGGTGGTCAGAAAAAAAAACAGGTTTGGCACTGGAGGCACGAAACATATGTGCAACACACGAGTCATCAATAAAATAGTCAAGCTGAGTTATACAATCAGGTGTTACTCTCGTTGGACCTTTAAATATAATGTTCAGGTTATTACATTCTAACAAATCCTGAAGCAGCTGACTTTCCCAGGATCTCTCAAGATTGTTTATATTTAAGTCAGCGCAAATAAGAAGCGGGATATTAAACTTATCTCTGAGGGTAGAAATCAACAAGTCAAAACGATCAATAAAATCAATCACATCAGCGCTGTTGGCAGTCCCAGGCCGATACAATACCACAACAATAATTTGGAAATTGTCTAGCTGCATTAGTCCCAAACAGAACTCAAATACACCTTCAGAACAAATGTCTTCGTCAATAGATAATGTCATCGGCTTAAATTTAAGCCTAGAGTCAGTTTTAAGCAACAGAGCAACTCCACCCCCTACTCGGTTAGGTCTAGAATATTCAGAAATGGTTTTGTATCCATTTACTTTAAAACAATTCAGCTTAGATTCATTAAGCCACGTTTCGGCAACACACAATACTTCAGGGTTCTCATTATGTAACAAAACTTCAAGGTCTTCTATCTTGTTAAAAATAGACCTAATATTTAAGAAATCAAACCTAAAACTAATATCACAGTTTTTTTCCGCCCCAAGACAATGTGGGTTGGGGCTTACGTCCCGTTTTTTGGACCATCAGAAGTCTTAGAAGTAGGCCTAGGCCTATCATGTTGTTCAAGGTTAGGCCTAGTACTGGTCCTGTGACTATTAGTTCTAGGAGTCAAAAATTTACATATAAGTATTCCCTCAGGCCAGAGATTGCTATCCAACAGCTTGTCAATAGAGTCAGAAGGTACACCTACCTTAAAAGATGAGTAACCCTGGTAGGCTACTTAGTGGGAAGTTGTTCACACTGGATTTGAGAGTGTTCAATAGGACACAAGTTCCTTATATACTCAACTAGGCTTTCAGGTTTCACACATGGGTCAAATCTTGATAAAAACACCCAGGATTTCCTCTGTGCCACAACAAGAGGTCCAGTTTGTTTGGCTTTGCCAATTATAGCTCGGTTTCGTTGCACTTTAGATTGAGGACGAACTGGATTTGACTTCTCTCTATCACCACGACTATTTACATTAATCCTTTTCTTCCTAGTCACTTGATTCCAATTGCCATCAGCACCAGGAGACATGCATAACTGAGGCGATACAACAACACTGGTAGTGATATTGGAAGTGTTTTTACCACGTTTCAGTACCTCACTATAACATTCACTTCTAGAGGGGTTAGCAAAATTACTAATAACGTCAGCGTCATCGCCATGGCCATCTTGATGAGGCGTGACGTCATCGTCAGTGCTGCCAGTCTTACAGCAATTATTAAAACTAAGTTCATCATCTCCATGCAGTGGAGAGTACGTCACAGAATTATTTCCATTACTTCCAACTACTTGAGTCAAAGTAGGGTCAGAATCAGCAATATGTACTTCGTCATTGATTTGAACTTCCGGTGGGCTCACATTGCCTTTTAACCTACAAACGTCACTGGAAATATTATCTAGCTTTGCTTTAATCAAACAATTGTCAGTTACTATATCATTCACTAATTTAAATAGCTTTCCAACATTCTGGAGTAGGTTACAGTTGTCATCAAAGCTCAGAGCATAATCCTTAAGCCTAGCTAACCTGACTTCGCAGCCTGCACAAAACCATTTGACTGAATCTCCCAGCTCTTTTAAAGATTGGTATTTATCACTTTCAAATGACACACAATCGGTATGGAACGATTTACAACAAAATCCGTCACATGTAACTCCAGGATTTCCTTTATTCACGGTTTTTTCACAGACGCCACAGGGATAACGAACTGTACGACCCGACATCTTGACCGGAAGTCCAATGTTCAATGTTACAATGTACATTACAACAGTACAATGTTATTTAAATAGGTGGATTTAATTAAAAATCAATTCAGACAAATGCTTAGTTTGCGGGGTTATTTATTTAATTTTATATCATAGGCCTATGGTAAAGTTTAACTAGTCTAATTCGATACGATAGCATTATTAAACCGGATCAAATTAAAACTATCATATTAATAGGCGTAACTTATGTTAAGTTATTGGTAGGCTATTCAATTTGATATAGGTCTAGAGCAGGTTCTCTGCAGAAGTGCTAAGTTAGTAGGCATTTTGAGAAGTAGGTTAGGCCTATATAGTATTAGGTTATCCGGTAATCAGGCCTACCTACTGTTTTAGAGGAATTTTGTGTAGGCCTACCTTAAGCCAATTTTAGGCACGGGCCTATTCCTTAAAGTCAAGTAAGTTTTAAGGCTTACCTTAGGCCTAGGCTAAGCATCAAAATACACCATTCGCAATGGTAACGTAAGTTATGCTTCCAGTAAGATTAGGTCTTTCAATAAGTTAGGCCTCATTGAATAAGTTAATGGGAGGAAATAGGACCTAACTTACAGTAGGCCTACCCTATTTTAAAACTATTTTTGGCGTTGGTGGATTTTACATTAACAAGATGGATAGTAGCCTATACTTTGTTCACAATATAGGCCTAGGCGGTTTGAGGGGAAGATCCCCCACCACTTTTTTTATACAATAAGTTATAATATGTTGCTTAATCAGCCGTTGAGCTAGATATTAAAGGTAAGGGTCAAGTGGAGGGAATAAGTTAGATTTCTACCCCTAATAACTTGCCGCCTAAATATTGTGAAAGAAGTAGGCCTAATTCATGTATCATTTGGAGTTTCCTTTTCTATTTTGTAGGTTAGAAAATGAAGGCAAAGGAACAATAGGACTAAGCTCAATTTATAAGTTACCCAACAAAGCACTAGAAAAAACTAAGAACTGATATTAACTTAGACCTATGTGATCTGTCTCAAAGGTTGATTAATCAATCATAGTTTCGCATAGGTGAATTCACAAAGAGAATCGAGAGTGAGATAAAGATAACAAAGCAGAAGGGAAGGGATCTATTTTACTTTCCTGACAGCTGATTGCTGATTCATTCACATTCTATGAACACACTGTGGTTTCAAGGTTCAGAGATATTCTGAAACTATTTACAAATCGACGAGTCCTAATTTTTTATTTTATTTTATTGATGGAAAGTTTAAGTTGATAAGAGTAACCACAGTATAAACAAAGGAAATTGTTAACCTCAAGGCTACGTTTACTTACTATGGATCGTTGCAGAAGTCAGGAGTTTTGGGTGGTTCTAAACTGTGTAAATGGCAGTATAAAACATCAAAGCAGAAAAAACACATTTCTGGATGAGCAACCATTCCATTTTTAATGCCATTCGGAATCACAGATGTTCCATTGCAAGGAATACTTGAAGAATTATTGAGCTTTTGTTTTTTGGTTCCACAACAACCAGCCGCCATGTTCACCACTTCAGGCACGGCAGACGGCACAGCAGGACAAAAAGAAAATCAGCCGTTGTTGTGTTGTGTCGTCTCGTCACCTGATTGGACGTCAGGTCAACTCGCTTCTCACTTGCAATAATTTTAATTTTCATCCTTTTAAGCCTGGTTTACACGGGTCGAGTACGGCGGGCGAGTCAGTGTGCGAGTTGCCACTCGCTCTTTAACTCGCTTGGTGTAGACATGCAGGCGAGTCGAGCAACGGGCGAGTTGATAAAAAGAGGTCAGTTGAGAGCGAGTCGAGTGATTTAGTTGAAAACCGAGTTGCTCGGCCCAGTAGCTACCCCCGCCACCACGATTTGCCCGCAAAACATCTGTTTACTGCTATCAAGTGAGTCCAGCGACCACAGAATAAAAATATTTTTTTTTATTTTGTGGTCGCTGACAATATGAGTCGATCACAACGATCAGTATTTTTGGGGTTAGTTCAGTAGTGTGTACGCCTAATCACCCTCAATACTCAATGGTTCAGTTGAACAGTTGGCCCTGTGTTGCATTGTCTTGATGTTCGTAAATCTACTCACTCTCATAAAATTTAGTTTTCAAAATTGTTGTACAACTTAAGTTCTACAGTTCTACTGGAACGATTTTATCAATCAATGGGTTGTTAGAAAGCTCACTCCCTAAAAATGTTTTCTATCAGAAATACATTGAAAACAGTATTTGGAAGCAACTTTTGGTTGCCTATATATTTTATTTTAAAGAAATGCAGTACCGGTATATTAATTTGTAACAAATCTTATTCTTTAAGAATATCACCTTCCACTTTGGTCTATCGTATTTGCAAAAAAAAAAACTTTTAAGAAATCCCTGAATTTAATGGGTGATTCAGTTTTAATTCTAATAATCTAATTCAGTGATATAATTAATTTATAAATTCAGCATTAAACTCTTGAAGTCCCATTTTAAACTTAAACATTTAACACGAAAGCTACGGTATACGGAATACCCACTATAGCTCAGTGGGAATACCCTACACTACAGAACACAGAAAATTATAAAAATTACTTCTCTGTGCCTACACTGTCGCTGTTCGAAATACGAATGCGTGTAGACAGTCTAGTAAAGTACCGGGCGAGTTGAACAAATCAACAACTGGGCCGAATAACTCGTCTGAAATACTCGACCCGTGTAAACCAGGCTTAGTTCTCAAATCCACTGTCAGAGAGTGCTGAATGAAGTTCTTACTCTCACAAACTTACCAGACCAGCTGATCCTTGAAAGTTGTGGGAATAAAATAAACGGAATGATTTCAACTTCAACATGTGGAATTAATTAAGTCACCCTTCCTTTAAGTTAACTAAAACTAAGTCAAGCTATTAGAATGCTATTAGCACAGACAATGGAAACATTAGAGTATTATATTGTCTGTGATATTAGCTTGAAGCTAAGTCTTAAAAGTTTAAGCCTTAAGTCTTAAGTACAAAATCACACAATATAAATGGTGAAGCAATTGTTATTCAAGAATAGGGCATTCAAACATAAAAAATACCCCCGCTTCAGCAAACCTGCAGACTGAGCGAATTTCCATTTACCTGATTGGTTTTACACTAAAATGTTTCATAAAAAATTTCATATTAATTTATTCCCTATATAGAATTAGTTTAACCATAGAATAAATAAACACCATATAATAATTATATTACTTATAAAATATAAAATATTTATACCACCCGTATATTATATAAAATATTATATAAACCATATTATACTTTTATATTCATATTATATTTATATTACTTCATCTATGGTTTAACGATTACTTAGGTTAGCTGCAACGGCTTTAGTGTGTTTTTACTCGTAAAATGTCAATAGTTTAATAAGAAATAAATGCATTTTCCAAATTTGATCAAAATATTGTCTTAAACAAGCAACTACGGTACAGCAGTTTACTTATTCTCCTTAAAAATAACATGAAAATTTTAAATTTAAGATTTTTTAGAATTTTCTTTGTAACTATTATATTAGGCGCACAATAACGCTTCAATATACTAAATTATTTGTTTTTTTAAGTTCTGCAAAATGGTTTGGTAATAAATTGTTAAATTTTATGTTTTTGGGTCAAAAATGTGAATAACCAATTTGTACCCCATAAAACCCCGTTCCCATAGTCCGATCATGCTGGTTTGTAAATGTAGGTTTATACCAAATTTCATCAAAATCAGATCATTTTTGCTCGAATTATTGTGCTAACGGAAACTCGTATATGTATGTATATGAATTTGAACGGATGGCGTTTTTGGCCCCTAGGGACCTCAAAACAAAAAAGTAAATTGGTCCCGGGTCCAGGTCTTACCATGAGTACTACGGTTTAATAGCTTAGGCCTATTCCCTTTATGAGAAATTCACTAAAAGTGTATTATATATTGCCTAATATTTAATATACCTACAGTACTGGTTTTTTACAAATAGAAATAAAAATATAAATAAATAAATAAAAATTAGGTGAGTCGGTGGCTCAGTGTGTAATGTCACGGACTTCGGGCAGTGATGTCGAGGGTTCAGATCCTGCGATGGTCACTGCCACAAACATTTTATAAGTACAGTTCACCTTTCCACCTTTGTACTGTACTGGCTCACTCCTTGCTTTGCTGGATATGTTCCACGCACAGATCTGTAGTCTGTGGATGGGCAAATGCAAGGTTAAAAGCCTTATATAACCTCTTTTTTTAATAAAAAAAAGTAAAAACATGGCGGTTTGCAACTAAAAAGAGCTAAAAATATGAAAATAAAGTAACTATAAATATTAAAATAGTTAAAATAAATTTCCTGCTTAGTATAGTATTTCATAACAAAGGTCGAAAGTGAGTCATTTTGAGACCATATTTTAAAAGTGACGATTGTGTCACGATGAGGTTATTTCACAGTAGTCTAGCGCAAAAGTAATTCACATGAGTTTACATTAGTGCTAAATTTACAGCAAAACACACATCAAGAAAGAGAGAATAAGGTCCATGACACCAACTCATCTTAATTGTCGAATTTCTTTATCTTACAAACTTTTGTCGAAGAAGCAGGAAACGTGGATTACTTCATTCTACTTCTTTAATTTTTCTGAGCATTGTTAATTGCCAAGTGCATATCCATTTGTGGTTTAATGTATTTGATTTGTATACATTCCAAATTCCAATGGAGCGTAAGAGTCGCGAAGTGTGCTATAGTTTAGTGGTTAGAGCGCGGGATTTCGGTCCCTGTGTAGGTCCGGTGTGCATATCCCGCCAAATCACCAATGGATTTGATCTAAGTGATAACGCCGCAACCCCTAAGGTCTAGTCTGAAGTAATGTGAAAAACAATCCTAGGCTCATTCCTATAGCGTCCTAGGACAATTTTTTTTTTTTTAATGGGGTGTAAGGGTGTATTTACCTAGGGTAAATAGAAGGCCTCGTCTACCTGGACTAGGCCTGACGCAGTACAGGCAAATTATTTAGACGTTGGGATTAGAACTAAATTTTGCTCAGTGCAGGTTTGGCGCAGTGCAGGCCGAGTGCGTTGTGGTTGCCATATGACAGGTATTCCCTGCTCCGGTGCCTGCAGAGTGTGCCTTGCCTTGGTACATGCACAACGGATCTCCCATCTACGACAGTATCGATGATGACTTTTGATCTTGACTGCGATTGGTGTATTCAATTTCATAGGTTTTTATTTCTTTGATTCGTAGCAGCAAAAAGTATAATTTGTATCATTTAACAAGTAATATTGAATAATAAATATTTTTGGTACAGTTCCGCAGAGAACCTGCGATATATTATCGGATGAATAACGATATATGTCAATATGTTTGGTCATAGATGAACTCTATATCATGTTCTAACTCAGAAGGAAGATGCATTTCTGCAAGGCATAATGTTGTGTGAACAAAATGTATTTTTTTATTTATTATCAGATAAGAAAAAAAACCATTACGTAAAATGTGTATTTTTTAATACAATATTCCTCATATCTTTATTAGTTTAAACTCAGAACTAAATTGAGGTGCACACAACATATGGTGGGATGCTGCATCGACAAGTAGACTCATCATCTGGTAGAACTTTGTCTCCAACATTCAACAATAGATTTCCAAATCTGCATTGTGGTCCTGGAATAAAACATGATGTAGAGGTTAGAGTTTACATTTCATTACATCTTAAGTGAACTACAGTACACTAACAGAAATGTTGCTTTAAACCAAAGAAATCAAAGGTTATTTTGAGTTTGTAATGGAGTAACAATTTTAAAATGTACGTTTTCAAGAAAGCACTTTATAATTTTTTTTCAAAAGGTTTTTTATTTCATTGACATTTGAAGTTTCATAAAATGTCCATGTTAACACATTATCTTTGGAATTTTTTAAATATTTAACCCCAATAAGTAGAATTTTAACAGTTTTCAATCAGTAATACCATAGATAAAACATACTCCCTTAGTAGATTTCCCATCCTTATGGAACAGCTGAAGCCAATTTTATTGTTAGTTCTGTCCGTTTTTCTGTAGAGGTCGTGTTTTGTTTACAATTTGTTTCCCGTTATTACAGCCATTTAAAACCTCGTTTAACCAAATAATACGATCTAATCATAAACAATAACTTGTTCCCTAGTTATATAACCAAACAGTAAAGCACAAATCAAGAAATTAACCCTAAAATAATAGAAACAAAGTTTCGTCGACACTAGCGCCTTTGTGTCACGTACATGAACTAGACACGAAAAACGTGCTTCAAAATTTACAATGGGATGAGAAGTCTACTTGTGTTGGTTAGTCTATGGTAATACTCAACCTCTATAGCTCGATTTTCCCCGTTATTAAATCTCAATAACTTAAAGTTTACCTTTATCAGTCAAAGTTTGCATGATATGCCTCAATAATAACTTGAAGTTTGGTCGTACAGAGCAAGTCAGCATTTGTGTATGCATTGGTAGTAATCAATAAGAAATTATCTATGAACACTGAACAGTGAGTTTAAAGGCATAGACAAAAATTTGTTTTAACGAGGTTAAAACTGTGTTCAGAGAAAAACATTCCTATATCATTATCAGGACTGATTTTGCAAGAGAAAGGCCATTCAACTTGTGTGTGCATGATAAATTGTTTTATTTTGCTTCCAAAGTTACCCTTCACTACAAATAAATTGCTTGAGCTCCATTTATAAAAGGTTTTGCTTGTAATGTCGAGTTACAAAGGTCGTGACGTAACTTCTGTCAGAATCCAACCTCGATATCTCAAATTTTCGGTATTGTACCTTCATAGTACTCAAACCTTGCTTATTTGAAAAACTTGACAGCTTGAATGTTTATCACGCCCTCATCAGATTCAAGATATCATGTCCTACGGTAGTGTAACACCTGTTTTGCTCCACTTATTACAGTATTACTCCTGAGCCATTGTCCAATCTGGGCGACGGGATTCTGTTAACTTACCCTTGGCTGCAGTCACGACTGTTGGATCAACAACACTATTCTTCTCCACAGTGTCTCCAGCATCAGCTGAAACATTGTAGGGATCGAAATAATATCAGTTTGAAATTGGTATCGAATTGGAAAAGTATGAGAAGGAGATAATTAGAGCATAGTAATTTTAAGACTAACGACTTTTAGAAATAAAAAATGATTAATATTATGGTTTGTGCTATCATACTCTCCTCAAGGGAATCGTGCAGAAATTATGATGTACGTTAACATAATATATTGTTTAAATTTATGATTAGGGTTCTAGTAGATGAATAACAGATTCGGTTATCATTGTTTGGTTATATAGTTAAAAAATAAACACCCCTAAAGCTTTTGACATGAACTCAAAATATTTTATGAACCCACCCAAGACTTCTGGCTATTTTTTCAGAATTTGTTTTACAATCTGTTCATATAAATACTTTAAGAGTTAAAACATTTGGTTGGGAGCAAGCACCTGTCCATCAACAAGTATTTCTAAATCTACATAATTATAGTCTTGTTATCGTGGTTCCACTGTATTATCTGAAGGTAATATTTTTGTATGGAAATGCTTTTTAAAAATGTCACGTTTTTAATTGCACTAAAAAGTAGAAAATAATTTATAAATATGTGGAGAGAATAAATACTTGTAAGATTTTAAACAAAAAACGTGGGGTGCATGCTAATTTACAATTATCTTCACATATTGAACTATTAATATCTATTGCATGCCCCCCACCTTTTTTGTTTTAAATCTTACAATTATTTATTCTCTCCACTGTATTTATAAATTATTTTCTACTTTTTAGTGTGTTTAAAAACGTGGTATTTTTATAAAGCATTTTTATTTATAAATTATTTTCTACTTTTTAGTCTTTAATGTGTAAATATGTTTACCCACCATGTTAAACTTCCCTATCCCTAGGGTGATGTAAACAACTTCTTTACTTCACTCGGTGAAGTAAAGTTTCAAAATCTCACTTGGTGAAGTTATGAAACCCATTCAAATAACATTGAGTGCTCAACTTAATAAAATATACCTCTATGGAGCCAAGGACGTTCAACGCTAGAAATCAGCTGTGCGCTTGAATGTTATTGTTATACTTTAAAGTATTTCCTAACCTAGCTTTTGTTTGTAAAAGAATGTTACTGTTAGAAGATGAATGAAGTGGATGATGAAAAATATTGAACGTAGCCCCTTGTATATTGTCGGGTCAGGTAAAATCTTGTAAAATCACTTAGATGAATTATGGTAATTGCTTCCGCTCGTTGCACAGCATTCACCGCGTGATGTAAAAACGCTCTTACTACACTTGTAACGTAAATAGCTATAAATCTATTTTATATGGCCTGTTAGTACATAACCAAAACCTTATTATATGTAATCAGATGTTTTACCACTTTGAAATGCTTGTTTAATATTTTAGAATAACTCGGGAGCAGAATCTGTACCGCTTAACCTTTGCTCTTCGAACTGTCAAATTTAAGTATTTACAGCTATGACTTCAATTGATGTATTTACATTCTTTCAAAATGTAAACATGGAAAATTTGAAAGCCCATGGGGCATAGCAACAGGGAATTATTAAAATGAAAATTAAATTATATAATGTTATGTTGCATTGGCATCCGTTTGTGCGCTATGTTTCAAGTTTCAAGCCTCTAGCTCATCGGGAAGTTAGTTTAAAATTGATTGCAAAATTTGTACCGGACAAGAAAGCGAGCTAATAAAAACGTTTTAAAATATGAATTTATCTTACTGCGGTCAATGCCTATGTCAAAACAATTTATTGAGTCTTATAAAAATATTATAAGCAATTTCAGGCCATAAGAATGTTAAATACACTCAATCAGTTGTAGCTTACCATCACGTTTGCAGCCTATCCGATTCTGCATAAATTTTGGTGAAATAAAAAAATTAGTTTAAATGTATTCACAGTTAAATCGAAAATTATCTTTCATTAGTACAAAACTTCAAATAATTTTTAGACTACCTACAAAAGATAGATCCAGCCACAAATTTTCATTACCCACAAATAATTTTGGAATTTAACAAGTTGAGATGATAACTTACGGCACCTCCAGTCTAGAGGACAGCAGAAATGGCGAGAGTAGACAGGAGCACAGCCTCGGACCAGCTGTTCTCCGTCATGTAGCTCCAAGTCACAACCTATCTCTGTACACATGTTGTCGCTCAGTGTGCCTGCCATCACATAGAGACATTCAACTTCAACTTGTGAGAAAATTAAGCTTTTTTAATTTTAGGTTTTACACAAACCAATGTGTTCAAATTAAATCTGAATATTTTATTTATCATCATGTAACCACGTAATGGAATGTGTAAAAAAAGTTAAAAAAGTAAACCTGGGGGTACAAAAATAATGGGTAGAAAACTCAAGTATAACCCAACAACAAACACCATTGACACCGTTCAAACACCGTTGGCATTGAAAGTCAAGGGTTGTTGGCTCTCAAATGAAAACTACATTCATTGACAGTAAACCCTTTATAAGTGTTTAATGTGCTTATTTGCTCTAAATAAACCGCTAAGCGTTTTCTTAATCTGACTTGAACTATAACACCTATATGAGATGGCTGATGTGTACTACTTGAAGGTTGACTATAATTTAGGGTCATTGTAACTAAACTCACATTTTGTAACTGCACAAACAAACTTTATTAAGTGACGCCAGAGACATACATCGTTAACATTGAGACTGCCCAGACTGGAATGGCTAACTAACTGAGTTCCACTATCGGTTACCTGGTGGAGGTATACCTATGATACATCAATGACAACCCCGTAATATATACTACACTAAATGCAGCCCTTAAACCTATTTCAGAAAACTGGTCTTGATGTAAAGGATTCAGACGAAGTTTGTGTTTGGGACAAGGGATAAAAATGGAGTTTTCATATTGCTTGTAGGAGGCTTGAGGGGTTGCTGATGACCTCTAGTACTTTGTTTATTTGCATTGAATGTTTAACTAGTTTATTTTCCATACAAACAGTAATAATTTTGCTCTCTATAATATCCTTACCATTATAAGAAGTTCCACAGACGCATTTGTTGCAACTAGAGCCTCTGAAAGTGTAGAATCTATCATTCTCTTTATAAGTTACTCCATTGTAAGTGCATTTAGCCAGCTCTTTTTCTGAAAATAGAAAACAATCTCCTATCATTTTATTCTAGTTTTTGCATTAACAATTGATTTCCAGTCAGAAATAAGAAGTTTTATGCTGATCAAAAATAAATCTCTATGTTAAATGATCGGGTTTGCCACTGATCGCTTTATACTTCAAGAACAGATAAGAGTGAAGTAATGAAGTATAAAGCTCAACCATAGACTAACCAACACAAGTAGACTTCTCATCCCATTGTAAATTTTGAAGCTCGTTTTTCATGTCTAGTTCATGTACGCCACACTGGGCGCTAGTGTCGACAAAATTTTGTTTCTATTATTTTGGGGTTAATTTCTTGATTTGTGCTTTACTGTTTGGTTAAATAACTAGGGGACAATTTATTGTTTATAATTCGATCGTATTATTTGGTTAAACGAGGTTTTAAATGACTGTATTAACGGGAAACAAATTGTAAACAAAACACGACCTCTACATAAACCGTACAGAACTAACAATAAAATTGTCTTCAGCTGTTCCATTAGGATGAGAAATCTACTAAGGGAGTATGTTTTATCTATGGCTCAACGCTCTTGTATGTTCATTATTATCACAAGTAATCTTAAATAACCAGCTACCTAAGCCCATAAAGAAATAATGGTGACTGCAAAGATTGTTTCTACAGAATGTGGAAAAAACTATCTATATTTTCTGCAGCCCACTGTTCAGTGACAGGTCTATTAAGGGTTGTGGGCTTAGGCTTGTTAGAAAGCCTACACACTGCCATTATCTGTAGTCATAGAAAAGTGGTTGACTGAGTAACCCAAGTTTGTTATCAAGTCAAACTCAGAGGACCTGTTGCTGAACAGTGCGCTGCAGAAAATAGATTGATTTTTTTGTACCGTACCCTGTATTATAAATATGGTCTCAGTAACTAGTGCATTGAACATTCAGAAGTTTCAACAATCTTAGATTTTATGCACGCAACCACAACGCTTCATTTACAAATAGTTTATGTTTACAAGCACTTACTACAAACTTGTTTCTTTGGACAGCAGCCCTTGAGTTCCTCTCGCCAGTAGCAGCCCGGCCGAAGATTTGGTCTGAAGTGGTGAGGACAGTCACTAAATGTACATTCCCATCTGTACCTATTCGAACAATGTTTTACAATTTGACAACTGTAAACTGCATGTTGTTTCTCAGAGAAAACGGATTAGGAGAACAATTTAAATTCAGGCGTTGTTTTAACCATGCATAATAATCCCTACTACATTCATCTGCACTACAGATTTTGTGGATGCAGAATTGTGCAAGGGAAAAATGGTGCCCTGCCATCTTTCAATCGGTAAAAACAACAACATTCAAGATTTAAAAAGTCTTTATTCATCATAGACTACAAATGTTGATACATATTATGAATAGTGTCAGGTCTATTATTATTTACTACATACCTCAATTAGCAATAAGAAACAGTTAAACATTACAACATACTATACATTATTTAAAATTTAAATTACTAAAATCTTCTATACTGCCATTGGCTGTTAGAAAAAACCAGTTTTTTTTTATTCCACCCAGCTTCATCCAACACTATCTATCTACCTCCTGAAGTCATACCAGTTAATGTCCTGCATAACCCCCACTATACCAACAGCTTCATCTCTGCATACTCGTTACTCTCTCTTGTCTAAGATCACCTTTTTCTCATATCCACATGGTAGTGTGTGCAGTGCATGCACTGTTTGGTGTGTGGATTTAGTCACACCACAACTTCTAGCTAACAATTCAACCACTAAGTAGGTGCATGGCACCACCAAGGGCTCAATTTTATGCTTAAGTGTTTTTTTCCTAAACCGTAGACGCTTTTTAACATTTTTTGTGAGGGGATGGTCGAAAATGTCCCGAGACCACATCTAAAGAACATTATTTCAGTTTTTGGTCTATATTTTGAGAAATACTTGTTTAATCTATAATATTACTGACTTTAAATTATTTATTGTTGTTCAAATTCAAAAGAAAGCCCAATTAATTAGTACAAGTGTCAACTGTTAGAAATCAAGTACTGGAAAGGTCATGTAAGTGTGTTCATTCTACATATAGCCGGATTATTTACACCATGCCAGTAGGCAAGACAATTGCCTTTGCCTATTGCCATCACATGGTTGCGGAATTGTCGTAGGCCTGTCAAGTTGAACTAGAAAATGTTCGTACGTGGCCAACAATTGCCTAGGCATTTGACAGTGAACTAGGGTATACTGGCAAAAGACATGACAGCGCTATTGGCCTACACTGTTTACATGGCTCCAATTATTGCGACAACTGGGTTTTCGAGGGGCGGGGAGCCTCGCTGGGCGCAGCTCATAATCCTCAGTCTACTCCCAGAGATAACTGAATTTTGGGGCAACTGTGAGGGCAGTTGACAAGGCAATTGGCCTGAAGTGTTTACACAAAGCCAATAATTTGATGCCAGTCAATTGTGTTCTTCAATTCCCTGTCCAGGAACACATTTACACATTGACTGAATAGTTCCAGTTTAATGTTCTTTTTACATTCATACACAATTCGTATTAGCAATATTTAATATGTTCAAGCAATGTAGGTTTTGCAAATTTACCTAAATGATTCGCCTATTTGGTCTGATGATGATTGAAGTGTCCATTCAAAATCGATCACCACTTAACATTTTATATATAGATATATATGGGGAATAAGGAATAGAAGTAATAGGTCTCAAGGTAAACCAAGACCTGGTCTTGTGAGTTAACAGTATAAGTGTACCATAAATATATTTTTACAAGAGTTATTTGACATATTTTTGTACTCAACACATATTCATAACATGTTCAGGTAATTTAACACGTTTAAAATGTTATTTTTTTAAGAATTGGGAAAGTACAGAGTAGCTCAATATAATCTTCTTTATTGGTTTTTCAAGTACCAGCCGTTTCAATAAACTTTGAAGATTAGCTTTTTAATAATTAAATCCACAAATATAATTTAAAACATATAACAAATTATTCTACGGCCTGCAAAGTTATTGCTACCTAACAATACATGCATTATTTTTACAAGATACTGTATTATATCAATTTACAATTTATTTCTATAAGTCTTCTATGAGTCTTATTTCTATAAGTTTATGTATTCACTTAAGGTACGGAATACAATAAGTGCTACTTACTTAGTGAGGGGTGCCACAGCGAAGTTCTGGGCACAGTAACATTGTGGGATACAAGGGCTGGATATTTCATTGTGTTCCTCTATCCTTTGGCCTCCCTCTACAAACAGCTGTTTGATAACACAAAAGTTTCTACGGTTCTCTTCCAGTCCTCCTAATCAACATGATAACTTGTAATTAGTAAGGCCAACAGATTAAGACTTACAATACAATACAATTTTATTATAAGAATCAAGCAACATTGTTAGGTACTAAATGTCCAAAAATATACAATTCCCCGCCACATATGAACATTAATTGGAACTGATGGTGTTTTTGGCCTCTAGGGACCTCCAAATGAAAAAGTAAATCGATACCGGGTTTTGGTTTACCTTGAGACCTATTCCTTCTATTCCTTATTCCGCGCGGCGGCGTCACCCGCGTCACCGTGCCACTTTATCGGAAACCTTGTAATATTTCGATATAATTACCATATAAAGTCACTTTAGTGTGTTAAACATATTATGCAAGTTGAAAAACTGTACTGTTTGTTGGTTTAAAGGGTTTGATAGTTTAACGTTACTTAGGGTTTTTAATTAAAATTTTTAAATAAATTGTTAAATAACTCAAATTATATCATAGATACGGGATTTTTCCTTGATATTTTTTTAAAGCGGATGAAGTTGGTAATACAATGCCGTTTAGAGCTTGTTTCTATCGTGTCTAGTTCACGAGATATGAGCGATTTTCTAGAACGCGTCTCTGAGCACCTTCCCCCCCTCCCCCCCAAGTTGTGCACCTATTGGGAGGGCGACAACATCGGTTTTTGTCATCTCCAAGATGCCCCCAACAACAATCAAAAGTCAAAAAGAGTTACACTTTCAGTGCATACTCAACCCCCTATAGATGCTGGACTATTTACTGAATTGGTTGAAATGAAATATTTAGTAGAAGAAAAAAGAAAGAAGTAGAAGAAATAGAAATAATGTTTTTTTTAGAAAATTTAATCCTTATTATGGACAACCTAATGCAGCTATGAGTAGAAAACATTTGTAGAAAACACTAAAAAACAAGACCAGCTTTTGAAAAATGATAAGATATTTACAAGAAACTTTGATATTTATTTATTGATATTTATTTATTTATTGCTCTTTACAATTTTAACATTGAGTAGCATTTTTACATTGTGTGATTCTAATATTTATAATTACATAGGGGTTATTTTATAAAATTACACTTTAAATTAAATTTAACTTTAAACAAATAAATCAATACATTTAAAAAATGGAGGAAAACTAAAAAACATTATACATTTATCAAGAAAACCTTAACCCCTGGGGAATATAATACTGTGGCCCTTAACTCCAACGGTGTGCAGTGAACTCATCAACCGAATAGAATGCCTGATTTTTTGATTATCAAGTCACTTTAGTGTGTTAAACATATTATGCAAGTTGAAAAACTGTACTGTTTGTTGGTTTAAAGGGTTTTTGATGGATAGTTTAACGTTATTTAGGGTTTTTAATTAAAATTTTTAAATAAATTGTTAAATAACTCAAATTATATCATAGATACAGGATTTTTCCTTGATATTTTTTTAAAGCGGATGAAGTTGGTAATACAATGCCGTTTAGAGCTTGTTTCTATCGTGTCTAGTTCACGAGATATGAGCGATTTTCTAGAACGCGTCTCTGAGCACCTTCCCCCCCTCCCCCCCAAGTTGTGCACCTGTTGGGAGGGCGACAACATCGGTTTTTGTCATCTCCAAGATGCCCCCAACAACAATCAAAAGTCAATAAGAGTTACACTTTCAGTGCATACTCAACCCTACTCTAATATTTATAATTACATAGGTGTTATTTTATAAAATTACACTTTAAATAAAAATTTAACTTTAAACAAATAAATCAATACATTTAAAAAATGGAGGAAAACTAAAAAACATTATACATTTATCAAGAAAACCTTAACCCCTGGGGAATATAATACTGTGGCCCTTAACTCCATCGGTGTGCAGTGAACTCATCAACCGAATAGAATGCCTGATTTTTTTGATTATATAAAACTGTTATGTACATCGTGAGTATTTCCATAATCTATGAGTCGACTCTTTTAAAGTCATCGGAAGTTATGACTGTTATTCGTTTTTAAAATACGCCAGTAATACTTCGCAATTGTTCAAATTCAAGCAACAGGTACACTAGTTTAATACTAACTTAAGAGTAAAATATTCAAATATGTACCGCCTACACTAGTTTAAATAGGTTTTACTAATAAGTACAAAAATGTAACAATTGGGGTAAGTTTATGTAACAAAGGCCTACACGAGTGGTCAAGAATATTCTTAGAAATTAGGATATTGATTAATTGATTCAATGGTCAACAGTTGTGATTTTGTTTATAAATTTGTTTCTTATTGAAAGACCGAGCTTAGGAGGACAAGGTGCATTTTTCTATTTCATTACTACCCTTGGTCAGCGAGAGCTCAAATTCTTCAACAATTTAAAGATGAGAATAATAACTGACGTATAATTAGCAGTAACTTACCACAGTCAAAGTATTCTGGACAATTAGGATCCGCCGTATGAACAGGTTTACAGCCCAACTCCTTGTGGAAATGCAGACTCAAATGATCACAAGTGCCTGAGAAAAATCACTGTTAAAATTAAGCCTACTGTTGCAATAAAAATAATCACTATCTGTTGAATTATTTTAATTTGGTTATTATAAAATAAATTTTACAAATAAAATTGTATGAAAAAAAACCAAATATGTATAATTGAATAAAATTAATTTGCATCTCAATAACAAATGTATTTCTTTAGCAATACAGCATAATATTTATTTAACTCACCTATTGCTGCAGGCAATATTGTAGCCAAAGAGAATAACAGATTGAGTGAAGAAGTCATTGCTTCCTCATACTGATACACACTACAGACATCTCCTTTATCCCTTATCCGTAGGTCCCAACAACCAACAAAACAAACATTAACATCCATTAAAACTGTAGATATGATTAACGGGACTAAGCATTATCACAAATTAGTTAAAAACCTTTCCTCTCTAAGGATTAAATGTATTATCTTACTATAGGTTTGTGAATGATTTCTTTATCTATCTGTAGATCTACCCAGATACCGGATTTTCATTCAGTATCTATATTAGGGATTTCCTGAGTAAAACACTGTGTGAATAACATCCTACTAACGTAGGTTTAAGATAACACATTGTTTTGAACTGGGATTTTTAACATTATATAATAGCAGTAACTCTTAAGGTCGTGCTTTGCTAAGGATTTTTTATAACATAGGCCTATACTAGCAAAGTACCCTTCATCCGTACGGGGTTGGCATATGAGGATAAAATGCTTATTGCAGTGATGGGAGAGGACACGGTGTAAGAAAATTTGGTTTTTTTAATTTATACGCGGTACTAGCTTTATACCCGTGCCTTCTGCAATGGGGTCAAGATGCGGAAGAGACAACTTTGGTTCGTCCTTGAAAATGATGGCAAGCAGCTTGAGAACGCTAAATAGAACAATTATTATGTTCTCTAGATCTGCTGTATGTACATAGACTTTTATTAATTTACTATTAGTATTAACTGCCTACATAAACATAACTGTTTTAAATCCATCCATTCCATCTAACACAGCTTTTTTTTCTGCTTGGTACAAATTAGCTGTTGTCATAAATTAAAAAAAAAAAATAATAGTGCTGCACCCTGTTGGTAAACCTATTAACTTTTTAATGCTATTGAACGATACAGAATCAAATTGTTTAGTTGAAACAGCTGTTAAGTTTCTTTAATTCCATTTAAATACATTCCAGCTGTAAGTACAAGGTTCTTTATTAAAATATTCCTAGAGAACATTCATGCGTCAGGCCAAAATGACAAAATTCTTTAATACCTTTTAAATATGAATACTCATAAGGTTAGCATGGGAAACTCCAGAAGAAAAGAATTTATTTATAAATATAAATACCTCTGCCTTAAAAAATAAGGTTGCCAATGACACAGAAAATAGTACACATAAAATATCGAATGATTATACAGCTATAAGACTGATTAATTTTGATGTTTGCCATATAGATGATTTCTCATTATGGTCAATGAACCTCTTAATGTTTCATGAATAATAATTTTCAAAAAGGATCTGTCCAAATCATATTGTTTCCAAAAGGTCACAAAAAATTTTGATAATGTTCCTCTAGAACCAATAAACAATCCAATCACCTCAATTTTTGAAATTTTAAAATTTTGCTTGAAATATTCAAAGGTAGAATCATAAATTTTTTTCTTTTCTTCATTTACTTCGTTAGCTTGATTTATGTTTGTTTCAAATCGAATTGTAGGATCGAGAATTATGTCTATATGTTAATCGGGAATGTGAGCTATCATACCAAAATTTAAACCCTGCCGGTTTACTATTTTTTGCATTTACTTGACACAAACATCCATCCATCCATACAGTATATCCAAACTTTCTCACTTAATATTATTAGGATGACAAAGTGGGAGGTGAGGGTCTCTTCTGCAAAGAATCACTCTACCTGCTACAAATCACTACTAAGTATTGTAAATCATATGTTGTTGTATTTAAATTGGAATCCTTTAGTTTATTGGGTTTCTCCTGTTGTAATGTATAGGATCATAAAGACTTGTATAATTTTCAATACATTAAATTATCACACCATCATTCAAACATTAGCTGTCTTAAAGGAGAATAGTTTCTGTATTGGAAATCAATTATCAATTATCAATTATCAATTATTTAAGATGGGGACGCCACTATGTGCGTATTTTAACCCAAATATGAGTGAAGGATGAGTGTAGGATGAGTGGCGCGATCTTGTAGTCTTGTTAGTGACTAAGGCCGACATGTTCCTTAGACACAGCTGTTAATTAATATCCCATACAGCTAACGGCAACTAAGGGACCTACAGTTTATAGTGGAATCCGAACCACATTTTTCCTTGTAATTTACGAATTGGTCTAATTATCAGGATAGTACTGCGGATAGATCTTACACTACAAGACAATAGCTATTTACATTACAAGTGTAGTAAGAGCGTTTTTACATCACGCAGGTGAATGTTGTGCAACGAGCGGAAGTGAGTTGCATAATTCACCTAAGAGATGTAAACACGATCTTGCGCAACGTGTAACGTACAAGATTTTACCTGACCCGACAATACATGGGTTTACGTACAATATTTTTCATTATCCATTTCACTCATCGTCTAACAGTTACGTTCTTTTACAAACAAAAGCTAGGTTAGGAAAATACTTTAAAGCATAACAATAACATTCAAGCGCACAGCTGATTTCTAGCGTTGAACGTCGATGCCTCCATAGAGCTATATTTTTTTAAGTTAAGCACTCAATGTTATTTAAATGGGTTTCATTACATCACTCGAGAAGTAAGGAAGTTGTATACATCACGCTTGGGATAGGGAAGTTTAACATGGCGGGTTAGGTAAAAGGTTTGACATAATATGTATGTGTTTTCAACGCTCATTCCTTTATCTTACATATTCTTATCTTGCAAGGGTGGGCTGAAGCCACAAAGCACTTCATCTGAATTTCTGAAACTATTGCAATACGTTGTTTCATTGATAGACCTTAAATATCCAAGCACCTGATAAATCCCTGTAGTCTACCAATCAATTCCTCCCCCCGAAGGTGACGACTCCTTCTTACCAGATTACCAAGAGTTGTCCTTCTTACCTCAGAGAGAGCTCTCCACAGTCAAAGCTTATTATAATTATTTATAAAATACTAGCTTATGTACTCGTTCATTGCACGGTTGGAGGAGTTTCAAGAATGGTTTAACCGAGTTATCTTAACTGAGTAAAATTGTACAAGGCCAAGACAATTTTTGAAAATGTAAACAAAAAAATCTGGTTTGACAGTTCCAAGTTCCAATTAAGTAATGTTAAATGATGTTTACATTTCGGGGGAGTGATATCATTTTAGTGAATTTCCCTATAGCTATTACCGTAGGTGGCATGGTAAGACCTAGACCCAGGACCGATTTACTTTTTAATTTTGATGTCCCCAGAGGCCAAAAACACCATTCGTTCAAATTTGTATATATATGTGTCCGTAAACGCAATAACTTGAGTAATTTTTGTCCGATTTTGATGAAATTTGGTTTAAAGATGTAAGGCAGGATAAACTTGAATGAGTTAGGGAACCAGCATGATCGGACCATGGGAACGGGGTTTTATGGTGTAAACTGTTTTTTTTTTTATTTTTATTCCTCAAAACACAAAATTTTCCAATTTCTCTCTAGACCTTTTTAAAGAGCTAAAAAAATTATTTAGCATATCAAAGTGTTTTGTACAGTTATTAGTAACGGAGAAAATTCAAAAAATAGTAAATTTAAAGTTCCCAAGTTTTTCTTATGGAGAATATTGTAAAATGTTGTTGTTTGCTTATTTATGGACATATTTTGATCAAGCTTGGCATATTTGTTTATTTTATCCTAAGCTATTAATATTTTACTAAAAAACACTTTATAAGTTTCCTTGTAGCAGCAAACCTAGGTACTCGTTAAAAATGTTTAAAAAGATTTTATTTAAATAGATTTAATTGAAAATCAATTCAGACAAATGGAAATTTGCTTAGTCGGCAGGTTTGCTGCGGCAGGGGTATCTTTATGCTTACGATCTGTACCGTTTCTGTTCTAATATTCGTGCAGTATTTAAAATGTTTGAGTCAGCTGTATGGAACTGTAAAATCAATAGTTATTTGTGTAACTAGTGGTGAAAGTGGCACTTTGCTGCACACGAGAGCAATGTTTACGCACGAGCCGCAGGCGAGTGTGGAATGATCTCGAGTGCAGCAAAGGCCTTTTTCACTCGTGTTACACATTATATTTTTCCTACAGTCACTATAAATCATATAAATAATTAGTCTTTCAAACACTATACAACACGTTTTTAGATTCAGCTGGCAACACAAATGGTGCCCTTAGAGAAAGTAGTACCCGCGGTCCGTATCACTCCGCTATTTTTCCTCGGCAAGAAATGTGCTCCGCGTTTTGAGAATATAGTTCCGTATGTTTTTGTAATTTGAAGTGGTTTCCGCGCCTAAACAAATGCGTTGAATGTATTTTTTTTTGTTTATTAAGATTGTAGGAATGTTTTAAAAACGTTTAAAAGAAAAGTCCAGGAAGTTCAGAAATACCGAAACTATAAACACGAAATGACAGGTTAAATCGAAATTATAATAGTCAATCAGCTGCTCATAGTATTATTATCTTTAAGTGTTGCCAACCTATTTCCAAGCGTACACGGATTACGTGCATAATAGAACCACGCTGTTTTGTGTTGTTTCGTTGGAATCCTGATGTGCGGCAAAGTATAAACCGTACGGCAAAGTATAAATATGCAGCAATTAGCAGCTTTCTGTACTATAAACAGTACAAGGAAGCCAACTTTGTCGGGTGACTGTAGGAAAAATTAATTAGTTGCTTGTTAACATTAAAACTATAAACTTTGTAGGTTTTTTTTGTTTGTTCTTTGTTACCATGGAGACCAATCAATATTTTTTACTTTTAACTCTCACCTCAGAACTTTGAACACCAACAGGTCAGCATCATAGGTCAATATCAAAATTTTAATCGGTCTAAATGTATCCTCGGAGCTGTGGCTTTATTAGTGTATAATTTAAGCACAGGTTGTTCGGTATTTTTTCCGATTAGCACGTACAAACACAAACATAGACACCACCTCTTTTAGCGAATGTCCTGTAAATATTCGTCCGTTAGCACGATAACTCGTGAAAAATGATCCGATTTTTATGAAATTTGGTATAATTGTGTAACCTAAATTTATTCAAATGATTTCGCAAACCAGCATGATCGGACTAAGGGAACGGGTCTTTATGGAGGGTTTTATGGGGTAAAATTTGGTTTTTCCCATTTTTGACCCTAAAAACAAAAAATTTTGCAAATTCTTTCCAGACCATATTGGAGAGCTTAAAAAACATATAATTTAGTACATTGAA